TGTCTGAAAGATACTAGGGATAGACAAGTTTTGAGTCAAAATTTTACCATAGTTCGGATCTTCCGGAACTATTGTTATTTGCATTACCTATTTTATCTATATTAGAGGCTGTACTGGCTTTAGGATTCACAGCACTTCAATAATAATCTTGATACATGGTCTCTAATTGAGGGGCTATTCCCAGCACTTACTGTCAAGGATCATTGTACACTTCGACTGATATAATAGTGAGGATGGGATATTTCACGGGGTTAATTGGGGGTTATTTGCAGTAGCTATTCCTGGCTATATCAAAATGCTTACCCTAACAATTTCTGAGTGCTGTGTCGTACATAAGTGCTGTTCACGCAAGCCCTGATTCTCGGAGCAAACCCTTTCTTCTACAATGTTCGCAACATGCGTGTGAATGGAAGATGAGTTTCACTCTATCGCAGTTAGATAATGAGCAATAGAGCTCCACTGTCGTCGCGCATCATCTGGTGGAGAAAGACGCTGGTTGGTCATACATACATAGCTACTGGTCATGGGTTCAGATTCTGATGGCGTGGATGGGTACACACTAGTCCTTAATGTTTTTCGGGTATTGTGAAAGAGTATCTGACTTGGAAGCCACTGTTAAGAGCCCCTAAACAGAGAAGGTTTGATCTCCTAGTGACGTGGCTTTATGTTTTTGAGCATCATCAGAATAGCGAGTACGACTGAATTAACACCAGAACTAGAGTACAGGGGCTGAATACGACTCATGCTCCACGCGGTGCATAGATTCACGTCAATAGAATTCACCACCAATGACACCTTTTGCAGTATAGGTGCACGCCTTCGAATAGATTTTAAAACACTTAAACTTCGGTGGAAATAACTACTATTTTCCGCAGGTTTTAACCTTGTTGCAAGAAACCAGTATTTGCAGGATACACAAACTTCCTTACTTACTTCCAACTCTTTACACTGAGCTACTAGCTCTTAAGGACATAGTCGCGATGATGCAACTTGTAGTGCAATTATTTTGCTGATTTCTTCCTGTCCCTATTTGCGAGCAACATTGACAGCTGATCCGTCCACCGCTTTTCTTGGGAGCGCGCCAAAGTGGAACCCTACTTGGATCTCGGTGTCATTAGCTCCCAATTGGGCACTTTACAATCGGTTCCGGAAAAAAGTGTTACAAAATTTTCCACGCACCCCTTTTGCACATATCCTCCATGGGCCTGTATCTCAACTAGACTCCCCTGAAGGTAATTCGATCATTGCTTCGTGATGGTGATAACGAGCACTATCCTTAACCTCCAGTGCCGGAGCTTGAGCAGCGATTCTTACAGGGCAGTAGACTACTGTAGAATCATTACCTGGGCTCCCCGTTGGTACCCAGTTGGTTTAGGTATGTTTTTGCACTGGTGGTATTCGGTGCACTGAGACCACCTCGATGCAGTCAGTCCCTGGGACTACCGCACTGGCTACATCACAGAATGAGTGCGGATAGGGCCATCACTTTGACTGAAATGGTATCCAAGTGAAAGTCAGTGTATATCTCTGTTTCTTTGTTGCCTAGAAACCGCAGGTGGCACATTATCGGAAGAGAAAGTGACGCGCAATTACATAAGACATGACACAATTATTTCCAAGAAGTTGCACTTTTTAAATAGGGTAGCGAAACAATAAATGGAAGGGGTCTAGGTCATGGAAACAGAGAGACCACATATGACCAGACCTATTTAAATGAAGGGTTTGGCATAGAACTTATGTTGTGCACTCTCGAAATAAACTCGTTTTACTACTGTCGATGAATCACACTTTAACCATCAATAACTACTTAACTACATCAAAGTGCCGGGGTGACATGAGCCCAAAGGAGGTCTAATTGAGGAGTTGCAGTGGTCGATTGGTGGCCGACAAGGCCCAGACAGACAATTGCTAAGCATCAATCCATTTCTACGACACAGGAGAGAAGTCTAAGATATTAATATATTGGACAGCCTATATGAAGCCTATGTCAGCAATTCCATGGTCCAAGTGGTCCAGGTCCACAAGTAGGGATTCTCCAAGCCTATAAATAGAAAGACTCCATAGCTAACACCACGTTATGGCACACTGGTTACTCGAAGCACTGAATCATGGGTGCTACACACGTTGGCATCATATTATCGGTTCTCGTCTCCTGAAAGCGTCCCATAGACAGTAATTTCCAGTAGAGCACATCTCAATAGAAAAGTGAGCACATTTAACTCTTATTTTATAAACTAACGGTAATAGGAATAATGAGGTAGCGAAAGGATCGATTGACATCATTAGTGAATAACTCGTTAACCTTCACTACATTGCCGCTGTTCTACATGTGGGCCATGCGTCTTGGGGCAACGTTAAGAGAATTACTGACGGCAGATTAGGCGCATCCTCCTTCAGGACGCCACCTTGAACTTGACGGATCCAAGTAATATAAAAAAGTTCATTGCTGTCGAAAGTGATGGAAAAAGCTCCTCATGCAGTACCGGATTTCACAATAACAATATTTTAACGAAAACTAAACTGACCGGAGGATGCTTCTGTTTCCCATTGCCAACTCGTAGTGGTTTGCGTGATTTTTGAAGTAGTTATTTCGAAACACATTCCTGGAGTGAGCTGCGAACACTGTGGAACGCCACGTGGTATTTATAGCCTCGTTCTTGTAGAACCCATTCTGTTCGAACAAAGAACCTCGGCTCATGTCCTCATCCCCGCTACACTGCAGCACCAACCCGGCGATATTATCATGCACAAAGTTGTGGGCGAACGGACGTGCGACCACGCCTTGAATGCGGATCAACTCCAACTGGTCAGCATTGTTGTGTGTGAAGTAATTACGGAGGATCTGTGATACGCTGAACTGATTACCTGAAGGGAATGAATGGTGCGGAACTAGTGAAGCCAATAATTGCGGTTATGGGAGTGCTTTTGACTAACAAACTGAATATCGGAATGTGGCCTTATTTTGTTATTCACAACCAGAGTCAGGACGTACATGTATAAAGTAGAGCCATGAGCAGCATACTGTAACCCCACGTAACATTATCCATACGGCATATCTTTGAGGCTGAACCAGTGGAGAGAGCCTAGAAAGTGTTCCGATGCGTTCTATTGTTGCGTCGCGCCTGGACAACGTCTGATTAGATAGCATATCACAGGTGGGAAGGTGATACCAAAGCCCATAGGATGCAACCCAATCGGACATTAATTGGTGAGCGAGGGACCGGTGCCTGTAACACTCACACGCGAATGGAGGAGAAGCATCCACGATGGGCGTGCACAAAGAGGTGGCCTTAGAGTTGTTTGTTCCGTGAAGGGACCACTCCGTTAGACCATCACAGTTCAGAAAATCATCTATCCTAACCTCACAAGCAAGAGTTGATGGCCTCCCGAAGCAGTGATGGTGGAGTAAACTGCCAGTTTAAAGCTCTAGGGGTATCGCCATGTGAACGGTCAGTTGTAGTGTACAACGTAATGCGTTAGTTGAACACTTGCAACACATCATTGTCATCATCATCAACAGCAGTACATTAGCCATTTGAACTGATGCTTCGCTGCCATACAACCATGAGGACCTATGTAATAAAGAATAAGAAGAGGGAGAGAAGGGGGGCTTACCTGAAAACCTTAGTGCCCTAAGCAAACATTCAGGGTCAAGACGCCTACACCTTGTGTACACAACATTCCGTCAAACAGCTGGCTATCGTGCAAAGATAAGGCGGCATCGGCGAGACAGCTTCCTTGCGGCTTTCACTGCCACGCGTCATAATCAGCCATTACCCCGCAGATAACTCAGCACCAAACACACTTTAAACAGACAATCCGATTAGGAGACGGCAGCAGACGCTCCACTGGTGTCGGTTGTCAGCCATGTCCTGTAAAGTCTCGAACCAAGCACAAGCCGAGTCACGTGGACTCCAACCCGGGAGGCGAGACGGACAAACGGCACCCAGTCTGGTCTGCAGTGACTTCATTTCCCGCTGCCAAGTCAACTTCTGTCCACCTCGAGCCTTGCGCCACCCTACACCTGGTAGACTGAACAAGACCCTCCTAGGTAAGTGGTGACCAGGCATGCGTAGCACGTGCCCGAGCCAACGCAACTTATTTAATGCTATCTGTTGTTCTAGGGAGCTAGCATGATTATCACTACCTAGTACTCGCCTACGCACATCATCGTTGCGGACACGCTGGTGCCATCCGACACCAGCAATGCTTCGCAAACAACGATGATCAGAGACTTGAAGGTGCCTCAGATCTTCAGACCGAAGGGGCCAAGTTTCACTACCATACAGCAGAACGGCCCTCACTGTGGCCTTGTATACACGGCCTTTCAGACGGAGGGAAACTCCCTTCTGTCGCCAAAGATGACGCAGGTTCAAAAACGCAGCTCTGGCCTTTGCAATGCTTGAGCTCACGTCAGTTTCTATGCGCCCATCATTGCTGATGCTGCTGCCAAGATAAGTGAATTGATCAACCACCTCGAGTTCCTCGTCAGCAAGCGTCAAGGGGTCATCAAGTGGCTGGTGGTCCTGCAGCAACACTTTGCACTTTGAAGGTGCGAAGTGCATACCAAATAATGGGACCACTCTGGATAGGCTATTCAGGGTTGATTGTGCCGCCGCAACATTGTCGGAAAGCAAGACGATATCGTCCGCATAATCTAGATCAACTAACCGTTCACCAGGCAGCACTTCAACGCCTACATCGTGAGATTCCGCAAGGGAACACTCCTTGATAGAATCCACGACGAAATTGAACAAAAACGGGGAAATCGGACAACCCTGACGAACGCCACTTGTAGTCGAAAAGCTATCCGATGGGACACCATAGACCCTGACGCGGCCTCTAGTGTTCGAGTATAGAGCACGAAGGATGTTCACATATTTCGGGGAAACACCTTTTCGCGCAAGTAATTCGAACAGAATCGATCGATCGACTGAATCGAACGCACTCTTGAAATCGAGGAACACAGCTATTGTCGGTCTGCGGTATGCGTGGCGCTGCTCTAGCACCTGCCGCAAAGTAAATATATGGTCTATACAGCCACGTCCTGGGCGAAAACTGGCCTGCTCTTCCCTAATCCTAGATTCTCGTTCTACAGTGAGGCGACGAATAATAATCGAGGCCAGTAATTTTGTCACAACTGGCGTTAGGCTAATACCCCTGTGGTTAGAACAGTCTGTGCGACTGACCTTCTTGTATATTGCCACTATAATCGATTCGCTCCAATTAGCCGGCACACTCTCTTCGTTCCAGATACGTTCGAATAGGGAGGTCAGTGCCCTGCAGAGGACCTCACCTCCATCCTTAAATAGTGCAGGTGGGAGGGAATCCGGGCCAGCGGCACGAAAGCCATTGAAGGCTGTGAGCGCGTTTCGGACCTCGGCCTCCGACGGAGGCTCTAATCTAACCGTCCATGGCACGTCCTGCATCACCTGAGTAGGAAGAGGTCCGGGAGCAGGGGGCCAACTGAACTGATCTTCAAAGTGTTCAGCCCAACGAACCATACGGCGCTCCTTATTGTGTATCAACGCAACCGCGCTGTCTCTGATTGTCTCACTGACGCCTGGTTTTCTGGGACCAGTGGTGCGGATTAGCTGGAAGAGCTTCCGGTAATTGCCTACTGCTCCTGCCTCCTCCATTTCTTGAGCCCTACTGGTCCACCAGGCTTCCTTGTCAGCACGTAGGCTCCGCTTTAGTTCACGCCTAATAGCCCGTCTGGTCACATCGTGCTCAGAGCCAGCCGGGAGATTTCCTCTAGATTCCAACAGGTTCACGGACCTCTCGGATATCCAGTGACTGGTGCGGTGACGACTGATAGTGCCACAAGCAGATGCTCCTGCGTCATGCATAGCGGCCGAGATCCTATTCCACTGAAGTTCAGTGTCATTAAGACAAGACAGCGAGAGTTCGCTATGCAGGGCTTCTTGATAGGCTTGCCTGACCAAGGACTGAGACAATTTCTCCGTTGCCAATCGGGGGAGACGATTTGTGCGCCTTCCGGTAAAGTTCATGGAGAAACGACAGCGCACACAGGCATGATCAGAGTCGACACAGGTACTCCAGTACGAGCGGCAATCCAGAATGGAACCTCGCCACCTGTAACTTATGGCTATGTGGTCAATTTGGGTCCATCGCTAGCCAGCTACGGGTGGACGCCAATTGGCACTTCGGCGCCCGCTGTGTCTAAAAGCAGTGCTACTAAGAAACAACTGGTGCTCCGCACACAGTTGCAGCAGACGCTCGCCGTTGTCAGTCCGTTCGGAGTTAAGTCCATACTTACCACCCAGCTGAACTTCTGAAGAGCTCAGACGCCCTACTTGTGCGTTCATATCCCCTGCAAGTACTATAATATCTGAACTAGTAGCACTGTGTAGTAGGGCGTTCAGTTCGTGATAGAAAGTGTCCTTGACTGCATTAGAACTGCAGTCGGTGGGAGCATAAACGGAAATCACAAACAAACAGCGTTTTGTTTTACTTCGCGAATTCACCTTAGCTGATGTCGTTAAACGAGCTGCACATAAACGGCTGTTCACCGGAATCCAATCAACCAACAATGACTCAGCCTTGGAGCTAAGAATGATACCTACATCAGCTTGACCCGTGAGTGCCGCATCGGCGTCTCCGGGTGCGTGCAACCAATAACGAGAGGATAAGCCGGGTGCAGTTAATTCAATAACCCCGTTAGGGTCATTAATCCTAGTTTCGGACACACAACACACATCAACACCCAGTGTGTCTAAGGTGCGTGCGAGTGCAGCCTGCTGACCTGTTTGTCTTAGAGTGCGGACGTTGAATGTCGCCATGGAAACGGGACAGCGTGGACTTATAAGGGACTTTTGCCGATAGGCATCCGATAGGTGCTATGGGATGGTGGCCGCAGATGGTACTACTCCAGTAGCACTTCGGTTGCTGTCAATTAAGCTGGGAATTATAGAAGGAAAGTTAGTAATGGGGGCCGGGATGGGAGTAAAAAGGTGGAAAAGAAAGAAGGGAGGCGCCAGCAGTAGCATGTTTTCGCTTATCCGCCCTGCTGTATGCAGCAGATAAGGCGACCCTTGATAATCTGCGCGACGGCCGATGCAGGATGAAGTTTATGAGGAAAATGTCATGGTTGTATGTGGGCTGAGATACTGCCAGGGCACCCAGGTCTAGACAGGAGGACGATTAGGGTCCTCATCCAAAGCCTTTGGCTCAATAGCCTGTCCGCAAGGCAGCGGGGTGGCAGTGATTTAGTTTTACAGAAATGGACGCCATCCCATTTCAAAACCCCAACATGGAGGACCAGGAGACTGAGTTTGTCTGACCTCTCACCATTGACCAACCTGGTAGGAGTAGCTCTCAAAATGCTCGGAGGCATCACCCAGTATAGCTCAATGGGTCAATGAGGTACGCAAACCGTCGCACCACGTTAAGGTCCAGTCTCGTTGCAACGGACTTGCAACAAAGCGATATGGAGGAAGAAAAATTTTCCATTAAATACATGATTGGAGGCAATCGGTTCCGAATTTGAGTATAACTGGGGCCTCCACGGTGACAGCCAAAGGACGCTTGCGCCTATTGAGAGAAATTGGAGGAATTAGGCTGTAACGAAAACCGCTCCAAACACAAGCCTCATATCCGATATAAACCCGAAGGAATAAGACCGGGAAGTACGCTGATGGAGGCCAGGTTTCATCAACGGAGCCGGCCCACACTCCTTCACAGGTAAACACAAGCGTGCTGTATTTGGGGAATCAAGCACACAATGCGGTGGTTAGGATGTAGCCCGCCTCACACACAAACCATGTGCATAGAGCCACACATTGAGCCGAACACGGTCACGAGGACCGTACACCTCGTCCCCTCCAGCAAGGACTAACTGTCTC